TGAAATCGAGCTTGTTTTTCATGCTAGGGCAGAAGAAATAATATGCGACGTCCGAGGAATCAAATAAAGCCATATTCTGAAAAAGTGTTGCAAAACGAGTATGACCGCCCTGATTCGCAGCCAAGCCTGGATCCTTTACAATGTCTATTTGAGGGCAAGGGTTGTACTCAACAACTACTGGTGGAGGAATGAATCTATTAGGGAAAAAGTCACCACAACCCCTTCTTTCCACTCTTCACTCATCATGATAAGATCTGCTTTGGATACTTCTGAGTTCTTAGGCTCAATGTATTCAGCGAAAACTGGGTGTCCGTCGATATCGTGCTCAGACCATATTTCCGCTAAAGCCTCACCTGCGTTCTTTAAGTTCCGTTTTTCCAACTCCACATCAATCGTATTTTCCCGGCCGTCAAGGTGGTTACCCCACTTGTCGTGAGGAAGAACTACACCGCAAAGTGAGCGTGATAAGGGTGCCATTCTTCTCTCAACAACATTAAAGGCGGATCTTCCTGGAGCATTTGTTGCCACGAAAAAAGCATCAAGTTTGTAGAACTTAAAATGATGAATAGCGACCTCTATTGTTTTGGTGTAACAAGGGTTCTCGTCAGGCCCTCCTTGACTGTTACAATCACAATTGGTTTGATGTCTCCAGACGATGTTTTCAGAACTGAAGCAAAACCAGGCAGTTCCGTGAGACGGTTACAATCGAGAGCGTGTGCGTAGGCCGTTGACGAAGAATGTTTCGCTGAACGCACAGCAACGTATGTCGGTCCAGACGATTCCACGAAGCCAGATTCTTCAAATCCATATGGCTTTATTGTCACGCCTAATAAATTAAATAGATACAACACTCAATAAATTTGCGTTCAGTGTCCATTTCAAAATTTAGATTACCTGCAATGACGGATGGTATCAATTTATGTTTGTTCGCTACCACCCAGTCGTGATCTGGCAATCGAACACGGTAATCAAGGTGCATTAGCATTGGTGCTTGGTTTTTTGAAGCCGTCACACCTAAGGGCACACGAGCTTTGTCATCTTGGCTTAGCGTGCGTGATCTGTAGGGCCGAGAAAGCAGGTCAATTCATCCAAATTCCGAATTGTTGAAGTGCAAAACTAAGTATCCTCATGAAATGTATGGTGGTCGTTGGTGGCACGAATCAACCGCACCGGGACGGTGCTGATGTGTTTCTTGGCTTCGTGTGTACCTTCTCTTCGAGGTCTCAAACGATAATAAAGGTAAGTTCGAGAAAGGTTGTGCCCCTAATCTCTGAAACAATATAGATAAAATCTTACTTCATGATCAAATCAAAATAGGATAGTATTTGCTTCACTTTCTCGACAAGATCACCGAGAATTTTAACAGTTCGCAGCTGTTCGAAACGTCGCCGTTCATGGGCAGAAGCTCCATACTGTGCGATTTCCAAAATAACCTTTAGTATTTCATCTTCATCGTCCCGGCGAGGTCTTCCCGGTGCTCGATGGATGTTCATTTTTGCGGCTTTAGCTGGTTCGTTTTCTAAAATTTCCTCGGTCTCGCTTTTTCTCACCCCGAAAATTTTGCTGACGTTGCTGATTGTTGATCAGTTTTTTGAGCTCTTTCTCCAAGTCCGTTTTCTGCTGCCGAAACTGGCGCAAATCCTTCTCTTGTTGCAAAGTAATGACATTATTTTGCAAACGAGTTTCTAGACCCAAGATATCAGCGTTGAGCACATTCAATTTTGAATTTAGCTCTTCCCGTTTATGACACTTGTACGTGCGGCTCGGGCCTGGCTGCACAGGAAGTGGCTCCGTAAATTTTTCTGGCGTCAGGTCTTCGAGTGCTGGGGGTGTAGTTGTTTCCACGCATTTTTGGGATGATCCTTTTTCTGCAGCTTTTTGGAAGAATTGCAGATAGCGGTTTCCTTCTGATTATATTCCAATCGTTTGGGAAAGTCTTTTAGGAATTTATTTCCATTCCGTCAAGCCAGTGTAGACTACATACAATGATTATTACAATGTTTACTTACATACTATGCATTAATTCTATTCTGTTTTAGCTTAGTTTGTATTTGCTGCTTGGACATAGTGATGTCAATAGTTCCGCAATGCAAATTATATAGGTGCATCATTCGATTGATTGGGCTATTTTTTGCATAGTTTGTTCTGTACGATGTTTCTGAAAATAAATTCCGTGTTCTAAGATATCGACAAGGTGTGTAAAAATTTAATTGTGCGAGAATTTCTGCCGAATCTATGCGCATTGAAATAATGTCGTTGATGAAGAAAAGCATTGCAAATTGGCGGCGCTCCTTAAGTGTTTGTATATTGATGAGCATGCAGCGCGCTTCATAAGATGGTAATGGAAATGCAGTCCAATTCAATTTACGTAAAGCATATAAAAGGAATTGTTTTTGGACAGATTCTATGCGTTCTTCGTGTATGGAAATGTATGGATTCCATACTAGGTGGCAGTATTCCAGAATTGGCCTTACATATGTGGTATATAATAGCTTAATAGTTTATGGGTCTTCGAAATTATGACTGAACCTTTTGATGAAGCCTAGCATTCTGTTTGCTTTACTAATGATAGTATTATAATGTTCTATAAAAGTTAGTTTGGAGTCTAGGATTACACCTAGATCTCTTACAATTTTGCTTTTTTCTACTATTTGGTTGCCTAATGATATTTCAATATGCGGTGTTTCAATTTTTCTGCTAAATGCTATTGCAGTACATTTTTTTACGTTCAGTTTAAGTAGACTTTTACTACACCAGGTGTGGAATATATTGATTTCATTGCTTTGAATTGTTCCAAAACTCTGTGCAGCATTGCTGGATTTCCTGCTTGTTTTTGTGCGGATATGCTTTGCAATAGCGATCAAAAAGACGTTGGAATGACAAGTTTATGTCCATATTGGTCTCACTAAGCACGAAAAACACGGTTTGAATTTGAATTCTTGAGCAACACAATTGACGAGTGCACGGATGAATTTGAGTTCACTCACTCGACAAAAAGTGACACAACAGCGGGGCCCTGTTTACTAAAAATGAACACATGAATAATACTCACGTAACATTTGAAACGGGTCTATCAACTTATGTCCCTGCACATATAGCAATTGATCAAATGTATACAGTAATCAATTTAATGGATCTTTCGGGTATTCCGACGGGTCATTTGGTGACCAATTACCAACATTTATACAACAAAAATCACAATTTTCTACACCCCCTAAACTTCTGATGGGCCATCCTTGTGACCACTCGGAGCCAATGATCAGCTGATACTTCACAAAAATCACAATTTAACTACATTCGATATAGTATTAGAACAAATCTAAGCATACTTTGACCAAATTTACGTAGCAATCAATTGGACCTGTCTGGCTCAGCTTTTGTTCAATCTGTAAAGTACAAAATTAAAAAAAAAAAACGATATTTCAATTTAGCTTGAAATTAAACTAAAGATCCTATATTCGCGTCGTGAAAAATATTCGAATCCTAGTTAACCCTCAATTATGACATACTTATGGCAAAAGGGTTAAAAAAAATAACTCTCCTTTCACATACAAGAGCCATTGTACATTGTAATTCACCTTCAAGAGAAAGAATGAAATTCATAGCTCATTGCTTTAGGATGGCCGTACTCTTCGGAGTATCTACTTCAGGATTGACTATTATCCTACGAAATTACATAGGATAGAAACAAACCACACCTTACACCAAAGTCATGATCAGCTCTCTGTATTAGCAAACAAAATTATCAGCCATAAATCTGTGTTCGATAGCATAAATTACTTGCAGAAATTCACACCTCATCGGCTAGCGGCATACAGTGAGTCACTGATCACGCCGCATACCCGCAGGACGCAGCACGCATTTCAACTCGGTAATAACAGTTTAAATATTTGCGTACAGGCAACTCGGCATGCCTTCCTAAATCAAGATCAACTCGAATAAGTTAAAATAAGCACGCGCACCGTGATAACCGTAAAAATGATTCCCATGGCCAAATGACTAGCTCTACAATTGGCCTGGTCAGTTCGGAGGTACTATAACCATTGAAGATCAGTCTCCGCAGGGGTGAACACCATGGGCATAATAATTGTGCGTTGATTGAAAGTGAACTGACCCCGCAGCTGGAGGCAACTGGACCGTGCTCTCGACTATGAACGGCCAATCGGGTGGGAGGCGGCGAGTGGCTGATCAACAATTACACAAAGTGATCATGAAGTCCCCTGGAGTGCGGAAGGCCATGTCCAGACAACAGATGATTCAGCTTCCTTATACAACCAACAAAAAGGCGTGGGCTGGATTTGATGCGTGTGCAAAATACCAACCCTAGCCGACCCGAGTGTGAATGATCGATAGAAGCGTGATCAGATAGAGAATGCTTATTTACGAACGCAGGTTACAAACACTGTATATTCAAGTAATGCTATAGAAGATTCATATTCAACTCTGTATGTAATGTTCGCTTTAGAGAACAGTCACCAACCTTCATGAAATGTTTATCCCTTGAGTAAAGTTACCGCAGTCAATTGAGCAATAATCATAAAAATACGAAATTATCACTTTTCTCTTTGAAACCTCACTCTACATGATTGTGCAATGTGCATTGCCTAAGGTTTCCGTTGCTGATCGTTTCTTGCGTCCAGTTTATTGGATGAGAACGCCCAAAGGCAACCAAATTACCAACATGTGATTCAAGTTTACTCCGCTATCGATTATCGATTACAATGTTCATTTGCTCAAAGGAGAAAAGAAGGGCAAACCGCGATCCGTCACGCTTCCCATAAGAATGCATGAGGGCTGCTGCGATCAACCGCGTTCCCAATCGACACTTCTGATGTTTTGATTTACATTTCTCCGCGGCGGCGCTTCTTATCGCTCGTGAATAATCGATTCCATCGTAGCAGAAGGTAATCCGTTAATTTGTCATGGTTGTATAAGTAAAGAACAGAAACAAATAATGACCCTCCCTTATCGACGCCGACGTCGTCACCGGGTACACTTACCTTCACAACCGTCTGGAAACTCCTCCGAGAGCCCGAAGAACTCCTCCTCGCACTGGTCGCAATTGATGCCTTCAGCACCCAACTTGCACTCACACTGACCACTAAGCTTATTGCAAGCACCACTTTCCGAACCATTCACATGACACTCACATGCCGGACAATCAAGGTCCAGGTTTCCGTAGCCACTCTGGAACGAAGAAGCAAAATCACACCATTAATCAACGGTCACCCAGCCAAGGAGTGTTGGTCTTACATCACACTCGTCACACCTTCGTCCGCCGTAGCGGGCCTTGCAGATGCACTGGCCCGTAATGACATCACACACATTCTCCAGAGCACCAACTTCCGAACAACTGCACGGTTCACATCCCTCGTCAGGCAGTCCCCAGTAGCCACTCTTGCACCGCTCGCAACGCCATCCTTCCGTGTTGCCTCTGTTTTTAGAAAGTACAATAAAAAATTTGATTCATATACCAAAGAAAGAAATACATACAAACACTCGATACACTCCCCTGTCCTTGCATTGCACGGACCACCGTGACAAGGACAGGAGAGGCACTTGCCGCCCAGTTCCAGCGGATTGCCGTAATAGCCGTCATCGCATCTGAAATATATAATACAAAATCACAGCTTAGCAATTATCGTAGAACGACTTTTGACATGAAGTTTTTAGACCAAATCGACACGAACATTTCACAATGGTCACCTGTGTAGCCTTCGGGGCATTGCGTACAGACATATTCTGTGGTATTTGGAAACCTGAAAGAGACATATAGAAAAAAGCTTTAGGGATTTCAAAGTTCTTATAAATTCGAATTATATTATTATATTTTATGGTTCATTATTAAAGTGATCGAGCCAGAGGCCGCTGAAGACATATTTTGTGTAGTCACATTAAGGGGGCTAGAATCAACCTGGTCTATTGGCAAATCAAAGTTGGTGTACGAGTGCCATCTTAAAATGCATTCATTTTGCGAATGAATTATTTTAATAAAATCAGATTAATTCTACGTTAGTAGAAAATTCAAGGCCTACTCGATAGACATAAAGGGTGTATTCGATAAAAATGGCACACCGAAAATCTTCTGTAACTTTTGAATGAGTAAAAAACCTGAAAATTCGAGTAGATCTTATTTATAGTGTATTGTTTACATCTATCAAGCTTCAAAGTTATTCATACAGTAGCTCCAATCATGTCGTCGAATTATGAAATTGTTCGTGACAAATTTTTGTGCACCTGCAATCAAAATCCAGAGGCGTCCCTCCGATGGATCGCCAAAAGGCTTGGAATTGCACATACAACTGTGTCTCGTGTAATAAAAACATTCAAAGAGCGTCTGAGTGCCCGAAGGAAGGAAGAGAGTGGTCGTAAAAGTGGTCCAATGGATAGTAAAATGGCCAGGAATGTGGTGCAACAGTTCAAGAACCGTCCAAACATGTCAATTCGAGATGTCGCTAAAAAGTCCAAGGTGTCAGTCGGTTTTGTGAAGAAAACCATGAAGCGTGATGAGTTACATGTTTATAAGGTGCAAAACGCCCCAAACCGGAATGAAATGCAAAACATCACTGCGAAAACCCACGCCCGGAAACTTCACACGAAGTTGCTCACCAAATCGTGTTGCATTGTGATGGATGACGACACTTACCCCAACTTCCGTCAACTTCCTGGACAAGAAGATTTCGTTGCCAAGTCTAAGTTCGATGTTCCGGAGGATATTCGAAAGAAGAAATTTATGAAATTTGCAAATAAGTTCGTGATCTGGCTGGTGATTTGCGGATGTGGTTTGCAGTACTATTCGTATATTTTAAATTAACCATCGACCGTAGAAAATACATGAATTATCGTGTATCTTAATCATTCGTTATGCACAAAATAGAACTTAATCATACTTTAACGTGAAGCGCTGTGTGTGAGATGCTCGATGACCCCGGAGGGATCGTTTTTGCTTACTGAGCAGAAAATCATGAATTTAACCCAAAGATCTTCCACAGCACAATAAATCGACATCGTAATTTGTATATTTAAGATTTACCATCAACATAGGATACTATTTTTTTATATCTTTATTAATGAGACTTTCAGCCCTGGGCTGATTCGTCTCCGAGTCACTGACATGAATGAAGGGGCAAGCTTTGGTAGAAAAAACTACAACGTTTTGGCGAATGGATGGACAACTTAAACTTGACTTCCGAGAAGAACCTGAAGAGAATTGAATTCTGAGGACAGTTTCAAATGAAAATATTTCTGGGGATGATTCCATGGGGAAAATTTCAAGGGAATTCCGAGGATAATTTCAAGCTCATTCTGGGAAGATTTTCTGGAGAATACAAAGGAAATTCTTCTGAAACTTTAAGAGAATTTCAGTTCCAAAGTGTTCTGAGAAAAAAGTTCTAAAATATTCCGAGAACAACCTCAAGGATATTGAATTCTTATGATAATTCCAAAATAGTTCTGGGGAGAATTCAAAAAAAAAATATGCGGATAATTTTTCATGCATCCTGCAGATAGTTCCAAGATAATTTCGAAAAGAATACCGAGAAAATCAAATTTATAGTGAAATTCCAAAGGGAGCAAAATTTTAAGCAAATTCCGAGGATAATGTTTAGCTCTTTCAAGGAAAAAATTCTGAAACTCTAGAGGAATTTCAGTTCCAATGTTTTTTTTTTTTATAGTTACTTTAACACTCTTGGGTTAAAATAACTATAAACATGTGTGACTTGTCCGGGAGTGAGATTTGAACTCGTGACTTTGACGTGAGAAGTTTGGATGTAAGCCACTACGCCGGGGGCGCCTTCTCAGTTCCAATGTGTTCTGAGAAAAAAATCCGAGAAGAACCTCAAGAATATTGAATTCTGAGGACAGTTCCAAAGGATTTCTGGTGAGTATTCCAAGAAAATTATGCAACTAATGTCTAGTGAATCCTGCAGATAGTTCCAAGATAATTCCGAAAAGAATACCGAGAAAATTAAGTTTTGATTGAAATTTCAAAGGGATTTTGAGGAAAATTTCAAGGTAGTACCGATAATTTCCAGCTCATTCTGGGAATAATTCCTGGAAAATACTGAGGAAATTCTTCTGTAACTCTAAGGGAATTTCAGTTCCAAGGTGTTCTGAGTAAAAGTCAAGAAGAGTTCTAAAAATAATTCCAGAGGACTTCTGAGAAGAATTTGAAAAGATCTCATAGAGTTCTAAAAATTTCGAGTAGAACATCAAGGAATTCTGAGGATGGACTTTTTCGCAACTGTACAAAGTTTAAAGACAGCTTTTGGATTCTCTAATTGAAAAGTGGGTATTAGTTTGCCATTGAACCTTGGTATATTGTTGTCTTACTAAAAATTCATCTAAGCTATCACCACCATCTGACGTGACTTCAGCTGAATCCAACCACCTTGGCAACAACATTGCAGCAAATGTATCATTTCGGTTAAAGCAGTTTGCATTTAAGAAGATGAACCACCACCGGAGCAAAAAAAAACTATAAAATTAGCTAAATTGAACAGTACCGGAACAGTGCTGCGTAGAAAGCACCATCCACCACTCACTTTGGAGAACTCCCCATCCCCAGATTAAATGCACCATAGAAAAAAAAAATGCCCGTCCTTTACAAGATTCCTGTGCACGAGGATACTATTTGCATTATTGCGTATTTCAGTCGTTCGTTACAAACCAAACGAAAACGTAGTCGCGTTTAATCGCGAAACGTTATGTTTTGCTTACTGAGCAGAAAATCATGGGTTCTTCAAATGCATGATCAGTTAACAAAATGAATATTTTCTGCGGATAGTCGACAATCGAGAGATTAAATGAGCAACATATAAACAATATATACTCGAATACCCTACCCAACCCTCCGTAGCATTTATGAGGGTGTCGCTAAGTCGGTGGCCTCTCGTTAAGTAAGTACTACATCAACATCTCCTTCCCTATCCCTAGTTATGGTAAAGATGGGCGTGGCCGGGATTAACGACAGTCATGCTTCTGGTATTCTTATTTAGATTGAAATCTATGTTTACTCCCCAGCATTATTCTTGAAAGTAGTCTGACTGAGAATGTCAAAAGAGTCGTGAGTGTCGCTAGTATCCAATCTACGAAGTATATCATAACAACGCTAAGACCTTGTATAGACATACAAAGGACAGTGTTGTACTTCCATTGTACTGCTTTAAGCTATGACCACAAATGGCAGGTACTAGATTAAAGGAGTACAACGGTACTAATTTGTATGTAATGAACACAGTAAGCTGCGCTTGAAAGCTGACCTGTTTTTATTTTGCTGTGTATTTTTCGACAGCGAATTAATTTTTTTTTGTTTTAAATTTGTTAATTTGTGTGCTGAAATTTAGTTTCAAGTGTTCATAAAGTTATCATTTAGTGATGTATCGTGTTTTGCCTGTGATTGCCTTGATTGACTCGGTTGACCTTGAATCTAACCTCCAGAATCTACGACGCAGCTTCAATTCTATTGTTCGGTGTAGGTTCTCATTCTCTCCGATTCTTCGAGTTCGGATGGCACACTTTCGGCGTGTAGTTCTATTGAGAGATTCGTCACCGTGGGCGATTTTGAACCCGGTACGGTTGGTGAATTAGCCCGGGAACGTGTTGATAATGTGTCCGTCGCGAGTTTTGGTCGTGATTCAGCCGTGAATCAGCAAGTTTTCCACTTGCAAAAGTTCTCGGCTGCTGGTCTCTCGCCGGTTCCGGAGATTGCGAGCAATATGAAAGATGCCTCGCTGGATACGCCCAACGTACGGGACGGGTGGTAGCTGGTGGCCGCGAACCACCTCCCAAATGACCATGGCAATGCAAGAAAATTTGTGTTCGCATGGATTGGAGGATCAAGTGAACATGGTGAGACCAGTCCAAAAACATTTTACAATTTAAAAAACCATAAGCTAAATACGTGCCTGGTTTGAAATGAATATTTTCGAACCTGGAAGCGTGTAGGGTAAAGAACTACTTCGGCCTAACCGCCCATTTTGGGCCTATCGAGCAGAAATCTTCAAATAAATCCATGCTTTCAGAGTTAACAAGTCAATTATGTGTTTGGTACGATACTTTAGTTAATTAGCTACCGAACGAAGTCAATGAGAACGCATGATATGAAGGTTTGCACCCATTATTCCAGAAAAACAAAAGAAGCGCTCCGACCGAATCATGTTTTATCTTCATCCGATAGGCCGAAGTGAATTCATTGGCATTTCAATTGCGTTTCAATGCGTTAGGCCGAGTTTAGAATCCGTAGGCCGAGTTTGGCGTCAAGAAGCAGTGTTAGACTTTTGACAATATCTCAACGATTGGTTTCTTTATATCAAATCTTTGGGTACGTACGGAAAGGTAAATAAATTTGGAAGCCATCAGTAACAATAACATTCCGTTTGGTGCTAAACTGCGCTAGATTAAGAAAGACTAAGTGCGGGTTGTGCTTAATAGGCCGGAAATGGGGTATTTAACCCTATGTCATACCAATATCCATTTGATAACGGTGATGCATACATGCGGGGCTTATTGTAAGTGAAAGTATCCTCGGAATGGGCGTGACTCTCCAGACATTCTGAAATGGGTTGCTGGATCTGCAATAGAGCTATCACCTTCTAATTTCCGGACTAAAGCTGTCTACAATGACCATAAATGCGACATTGTAGATAGAGTTCTTCCATAATAACACTGCCGGCCAGTGGGGGTTAGCGCACAACGGTACTAATTTGTATGTCTGTCGATGGTATAACGCTAACGGAAGAATGGTAGTACATATCGAAGGAAATATATGTGCATGTGTTGTTTACTTGTTGAAAAAAGCAATGTATACTAAACAATATCGATTTCACTACCACTGAAAAAGTGCCGTCTGTTGTAATTTTGGATCATGTCCTATTGCTTCCAAACTAGCCGTATTGAAAGCAGGCTTGCTTATTCTACGTAGTAGAGCAAATTGCCTCACTACCATCTGATCACTTTTTTATTGTTACAGATAGCCTTATCTCGTTGGAGTCTATTCAATAAATGAGGCCGATGAAGCACTCCTCGTATTTCCTGACCAAAATCCGAGCTAAATTGAGTACTTTATCTAACTTCTCCTATACTATCACCTTAGTTTGGGTCCCATCTCATTGCTCAATTCCGGGTAATGAGAAAGCGGACTCGCTAGCTAAGGTGGGCAAGGGCGTAGCCAGGTTTCGAGCTAGGGAGGGGCGAAAAAAAAATTACCATGGAAAATTTGGCCGAATGCCATTTCACCGAATGCCATTTCCTCGAAAGCCTTTGTGCTGCCGAGTTTAGGGGGGGGCAGTCGACCCCCCCTGCCCCTATCTGACTACGCCTATGAAGGTGGGCGCTATGGAAGGCGATGTTTTTGATCGACAAATCGCCTATGCGGAATTTTTTCAATTACCCGTCAGCACGTCATCACCAAATGGCAACAAAAATGGAATGAGAGTGATCTGGGAAGATGGTTACATTCTATTCTCCCACAGGTATCGAACAAGCCATGGTTCAAAGGATTGGACATGAGCCGTGACTTTATAAGTGTCATGTCAAGGCTCATGTCCAATCACTACTCGTTAGACTCGCATTTCTTCCGAATCGGGCTCGCAGGCAGCAATTTGTGCGCTTGTGGTAGTGGCTATCACGATATCGACCACGTGCTTTGGTCATGCACCCTTCATTGTGTTGCTAGATCCGAGTTATCCGCATCCCTCAGGGCCCGAGGAAAACAACCATTGCGGCCCGTTAGAGACATCTTGGCGAGCCGAGATCTCGACTATTGCAATTTAATTTATGTGTTTTTAAAACGGATCGATCTGAGGATTTAGTAGTTAGTGTCATCTTGTGTTGCCCCAAGTTGTTAGCTGCCCATCGGTGTACCCCCATGTTTGTCTTTTTCATAAGTTGGTCGTTTAGTTCGAGATCAAGAGCACATTGCTCTCCAAACCTTGTGTTCTCAATCCCTACCCTGCCATCCATTTGTTACAATTTGTTACCCCTAACCCCGAGATAGCCGCGAGTAATCGACCCCGCTTTACTAACGTTAGTTTTAAGTAATTTTGTAACCCAAAAGATGAATATCGGCTCCGCAAAGCTACGGCAAATGAGCCTGGAAAAATAAACGCACTAAAAAAAGAAAGCAGGCTTACTGGTTATTGTCAGAGTAATCACGTACTCAATATTGACAATGTTTAGACAACTAGAGCCTAACTACAAGAGATATTTGTTGAATTTAGGCTACTTCCATAGTAATCCCTGGACAAAATAGACAGTAATAGAATAAAGTAAGCCCTGTACAAACTTCAAACCATTTGTACGACCTCTAAACCTGTATCAATCTTTACCATTATTTTTCACAGACTCATATTTTGGGGTTATGAATCAAACTGAAGGATGGCCTTAACGACTACACATATTTTTTATAAGACGCCTTAGACACTACGACTGTCTGTTATTGATTCAAATTAAACTTAGTGAAAATAAATAATAAAAGTCCCTCTTATTAAACATAAGCGAAATACTTACTCAGCTCCACTCTTCAACAAACAGCTCGGCGAAAAGTTGTTACTCTCCTCTTCCAACGGACAGGCACACTTTTTACAATCGTCCGATTTCCCGATCATAGCATTTCCATAGTATCCTGGCAAACACCGCTCGCAAGTATCACCAAACGTGTTATGATGACACAATCCACATTCTCCTGTTTCCAAATCACAACTCTCCGCATGACCGTTGCACATCGTACACGGGATACACTTTGCAACATTTTCGTGAGTGATTGTATTCTCATAGATTCGGACGTGACCAAAAGCACACCGCTCACATGATAATCCAGTATAACCCGGTGGACAATCGCACTTTTCAACCAAACTTTCCCGCACAATAACTTCACTTTCATTTCTTCCTTCGTACAAAGTCGCAGCTTCCAAAACACTCTCCACTTGATCGGTGTGAAAGGTTCCCCTCAACAAAACGCCTTCCACATCCATCAGCACTGACAAAAATTGCGCTCTTGTCACGGGATCGCCATGGTACTCAGTCCTCTTGAGACGTGTGACGATGTCCTTTACACTTATCGGAACGTGGTACCAATTTTCTTCCTTCAGCACAATTTCAACGGTTGCATTCGAAGGTCCCGTGAACGTTTCTTCTCCGTATGCGATCTTCATTCCGTTTCTTCCGAAGAGGATAATGCTTGGGCCAGTAGTGGGCTTTCCACTGGTGTCACCTCGAACGATCACCCAGGAAATTTTAAAAGTTAGCTTACTGCCGTAGCTTTGAAGTCGATTTCCGAGGTATGGCTTCGGAGCGGACCAATACACTGCTTCTGTTTCGGAGAGTTCAAACATTCCAATTACCATAAACCCGGTTTCATTATCTCTGGTAGGGTAAACGGTTTTTGATCTAGATATATCAGTTACGCTCCAACCTTCCAATGTTCCATAGCTTGTGCTTAACATTTCTGCGCTGGTACAGCTTTGGCCTACCCCCGAGCAGAAACATTTTAAACAACCTTCAGGATTGCTTCCGCTCAAAGAGAAATACCCTGGAGTACAGCGGTCGCACCGTTCACCTTCCACGTGTAATTTACACTGACAATGAGACTCGCATTCTCCACCAGGCATGGCACCTCTTATATCACATAGGCACTTGGTACACTTTTCTCCATGGTATCCAGGAGCACACTTCGTGCATCTGGGGCCAGTGAATCCTTCCTTACAAACACATTCCCCACCCATTGGATTGCACTCCCCGGTGGAGCCTTTCGAACTACAGTCACAAGGCAAACAGGGCACTTCTGCGTTCGGCATCCTATCGACTGGCGTATAGTAAAATGGGAGACACTTTTCGCAGTTGATTCCAGTGGTAAATTTTGTACAATTCATACAAACTCCACCGCCACTCAACTTCCCCCGGACATTCACACTTAGGCCCTTTTCGTCCACCTCGCGATCGTAGTGGCACTCCTTGGCATGACCGTTGCACTAAAATGTTAAGTTTAAAATTAGGATCATGTAAAAATTAAAGCAGTCGCCGCACTCACCTCACACTTTTCACATTTATTGGCCTGAAATGGGGTTCCCATCCGGTACGGTCTCTGGTTGTACAACGGACAACATCGATCGCAGTGCGTCCCACAGGTATTATGCATGCATTCACACCGCGGTAGGTTGTCTATGTTGTTGTCGTTCGCTTTGCACTTTGCAGCATGGCCGGAGCAGAAACACCGCCCTCCGATCCGCAGCGAGCGAATGGTGTAAAAGCTCCGTTTTGCTTGCGCCTGCGTGTCCATTCCACTGTCAGCACTGACGCCATCACGGAAGACCGCGGTGTGCATACGTACCAGGCGAATCCTAATGTAGCGAGCTAGGGTGAAATTGAGCAGCTCTTGCGATGTTGTTTTCTCGCTCGGTCTACCCGTGATGAGGGACAGGTTGATTTCACCACTCTCCAGCGGATCGACGGAGGAAAACTGCGTTGAGCATATCACTTCGGAGTCGTTCTTGAATATGTAGTTAGCACTGTGAGCGGCCAGACTGAACCTACCACGGCACTCGTCATCATCGGCGGCAAAGTACTGCCATGCATTGTAGACCTTACCGTCGGTAGACTTTTCCAAAGCCCACGCCGCCGGTAGGGGGGATATAGCAGCACGCATCGTGAAAAACACAACCTGGTAGACCTGCGAAAGAAGCAAACATAGAAACGTTTAGCTAAAACGGTTCAATCGAATCCAATTGGGATAATAAAATTTTATTATTCTGTTCAACGGCAGTCGCCGACGAGTTGGTTCGGTCATTTGGTCCAGTTCGTGACGATCTTTAGGCGTCTTCGGTAGTCGGTCGATTCATTGGCGTACGCAGGGACTAAGGGGCATTCATTGTGTCAATTTTAATTTGATGAAACGTTTACAATGTTTTTCCTACTACACTGCTTGTCACATAATCCTACACCCCTTTTCCCCCTTAAAACGTATCAACCCATTGTAAATAAAACATGGCTGGTAGACGGGTAGACAATCGTACTATTGGTACTACGCGTATCTGCAGGTAAAGCATAGACCACAGTTAGTTATCCTTAGCCTATTGTCCTGTAGCTCATACTCCTATCTCCTCGCGGTTCCGGCTGGGGTACGAATAGTCATAGGAGAAACCAAGTAACCAACCCCGGTGAGACGGCGTAGAGCCATTAGGTATAATGGGTTACTAGGCCGAAAGCCTTTAGGCCAAATGTGTCATAGAGCAGAAAAGGCCATTAGGGTGAATTTTGAAATGTAAAAGCTGGAACATAGGTTTTCCCCTGGGAAAATTAATCACGCTCTGGGACTTCAAAAACTAGTAAGTTCTCTGTTTGAGAATGGACATTTAAGAGATTTCAATATCTTACACTTAAAATATTGTTTATTCTCTTCATCGACTTTCTCTTTCGTCAATAACTCAGCTGCAAAACCTTTCCCTGTTGTGTTTGATGTTTTGGACGCTAAATAAGAACCTCCTTTATCAAACTATGTGGTAGAATTAGCGCGAAATCTGTTTGCATAGCAGTGGTTATGAAAAGAGAAAGTCGATGAAGAGAATCGATTAAAGCAGATAGGACCATTTGAAATGCTCATCGAGAAATGTCGTTTTTCAAGCCACAGGCACAGATAAACTGCCAAACCAGAAATTTCTTAGCGAACTTCTACAGGTTCATATGCTTGAAAATGTCTGCCATCTTTCCCCTTCCGGTTGCCGTATAAAACTCCTGCCAACGAGGCTGTTTGCAGTCTGCCACACAATCGAACTTCATCAGCATCGTTGTGCACTGCTTCCGGGATCGTGTTTTGGCCGTCTTGTTATGTTTATCGTCGCGATTTTGAGTCATTACCTTCTTATAAGTCGACAGTCCGACTCGGTTGTAGACTACATTCCTATCTTGTTTGCGACACCTCAGTCGGAGAGGTTGGGGTTCCACTGGCCACTCTTTTAGTTGTAGCTGTGGCTTCCGGCTTTGAATTTCCCCCCTACCCAGGCTTCTTGGCTGTTGACAAAGGTTCCCCAACACTTTTATTACGTAAGTGACAGCTGATTTAGCAACTTTTAGCAATTTCGCTAACTCGGCGTGCGAGTATTTCGGATTTTGCGATGTACTAGAAAAATGTTGCTCCTCTTGCTTGGATGCCATTTTGATAACTTAAGACCAAATGTCAAAATCAAAAAAGAGACAGCAGTCTGCATGCATACACCTACAAAATGACGGGTGTTCAGGTTTTTAAATGCTCGATTAAAAGAAATGCGTCAAGTTTAAGTCGATCAAATTTTGATCGTTACACCCTTTAGCTTAAATCTGGCTGGTTCAGTGCTGACACGATCAAAAGCAAACCCGAAAAGCAAGTGTAGAGCACGAGCTGGGAAGCCAAACTATGCTCTACAAAAATGAAAATAACTTTCGAAGCGGCACACGGAGGCAGACATTAGTGTAAAATCATGTTTGCTTTCGCGTGAATTGCCTACCCAAGTAACCAAAACTTTCGCATTCCACGATTAAAATCACTTCTAAGTTCCGCAAAGTTCAGTTTAAATAAAGTTCCGACAGAACTTTCAAGTTCCATGAAGTTCGAATAAAGTCCCGACAGAACTTTCAAGTTCCATAAAGTTCAAATAAAGTTCCGACAGAACTTTCAAGCCACATGAAGCAATCCGCTCAAGTCTTTATTAGTAACAAAATTTAATGTACGTAAATATGAAATGATCAGTGGCCCGAATAAATCATAATTCTTATCCAAACATAAAAAAAAAATAATTAAAAAGTAATTTCCTGAAATCGAACCCGTGTATTCGGCATGCGATCAACGAAAACTAACCACTGCGCTACAAATGTGTTGGAATACTAAGCGGACAAACACCAATTTAAAATTCATCAAGGTGTTGTGTTTCGTATTCAAGCCAGTCAGCTGACACTGAAAAATCCAACAGTAGGCGGGACAACAGCTCACTCTATTATATCTCAAATGACGCAGCGGTTCGTGCTGGGGCTCTCACGCAGAAGGACTGGGTTTAATTCTTCAAAAAGCTCCAATTCTCTACTACTAATGCTGATAAAATCAATACACATTAATAATCGCCATAAAAGTGCGAACTTAAATATAGAATTTATTTAGAGGTCAACATTTATTTTTTATTTGTGTAAGTTCCGTTCAAGTTCCGTCAGAAGCTGCTTAGAATGCTCTTCAATTATGATACCGGAACTTTCAAGTTCTTATAACGACTTAAAAATGAGGCTGCTTAGAATTCTATAGACTACCACCAACAAAGCTGCTTATGCCACAAATAGCCTTTTATCAGAACTTTTGGTTACTTGGGTAGTGGTTGATAAACCCTTCTTTTTTGGAAAAAAATAACGCTACATTTTGAATGCTAAAAAAGATGTTAGAAATATTACATCTAATTTAAATCGATAAATTTCCCTACCTGGCGTTTTGCAAAAAAAAATTGTTAAGTTTAACCTTGATTCCTCAAGGTAAATGGTATTAGTTTATGTAGAATATCGAGTTGAATTGGAATACCGAGAAAAACAAATTTAGGTTTTGTCCAGTTGGCCCGCTGTCGCTCTGCCCCAGTATCTAAAGCTTTAAATCATGGATTCATAAAACTTTCAAACATGGATTCTTACTATATTGTCCTGCTTAAGGATCCGGATTGATTGTTTCCTGGTTTGGCAGGACTGGAAGCCTTCCCGGGGATGTAATTGCACAAGATACTGTGTTTTTTATAAATTATTATAGAAATGTTTAGCCTTCGGTTCGTTCATCTCTACACAACTAAAAAAAGGTAGTGTAAATTTCCGTTACTATGATGCACATAAATGGAGCGTCATAAATTTAACAAATTTACATTATAAATCGTGTAAATTTATGAGACATTTAATGCAATATTCCATATATTGTATGCAACTTTCCACCTTTGTTTGCAACATTTCTTGCAAGCTGATAGTTTACGTGAAAAGTTTTCATGCATGAATGTTTGCATGCATGGATGTTTACATCACCAGTAAAATTCAGATTTTTTTAGTTAAATTTATCTGGAGCAGGTAATTTCCATTTTTAATCAAAACAAATAATGAAAAAACTTCCCGGCTGAAAATATCACAGAGTGGTTTTGATTCACTCTGCACGAGAACGTCGTTTACTCAAAACTGAGTAAAAGTAATGCCAACTTACTTTTGAGTAGCCACACTTCCCACTGAAATGAGCATGTTCAACTGAATTTTGAGTTGTTGCGAGTTACCGTGCACACCTCTCCTACTTTAAACGCTAATTTCTCGCGCAATTTTTTACGTAAAGCCCTGCCAATTTAGAAACGGTACGCTTTCAATCGGATGTACCTCAGAATCTGTTTGGTTTATAAAAAAACAACGTTATATTATAATATGGGTTTTGCGATTTTTATTCCTCTCGAATGAAAATTCGAACTACTACACAAACTGCTGGTCATCATCACCGGCTGTATTTTTACAGTATCTGGCCATTAAAATAGCATCCTTAGCCATTTTTCCACTCTCCTTCAGTTTAGCTTTGATGATACCCCATAAAATTTCGATTGGGTGGAAATCCGGGAAGTTTCGGCGCTCATCCCTTTCTCAATGACGTCTACTTCATTATCGCGATATCACTGTTGAGCATTCGTACTGTCATGGCAACTCACCAAATCTGGCCAAAACTTGACGTTGGGACCTAATGAACGGCAATACACGTTTTTTTTTTTCAGGCATTCTTTGATGTATAACTGTCCGTTGTCACATAAGCAGATTCCCTACCAGATTATCAGCTTGCTGGCAAACTTTTCCGCAAAAACAAATTTATATTCCTTGGGAACATCTGTCCCGGAAGCTGTTTGTTACAGCTTAAGGGCCCGCGTTTTGGCCGTAATGTTTTGCTTTACGGTTCGGTTCGGTTGCTTAACATCCCGATACTTGAAGAAACCTTCCCGAATGCGTATATTCCGAACTGTACTGTGAACAGCACCGAGTTTGTTGGCCACATCCACATCCGAAATTCTTGAACTCGCTTTGAAAGCCTTCATGACGTTCTGAAGCAGTTTCCGGTCGATTATACCACCAGACAAACGTTCCTTGAAACGGTGGTGTTGGTCATTTCCAACTCCTTTGCTATCCTCGTACTCGACCATGTTGGGTTTTCATATCCAGTTTGGGTGCAGAAATAATTCTCTTATTTTTTCTTAGATCGCGTGGAAATTCAAGAAAACATAATCTTTTTTTTTTATTTTTGCACAGCATTTCAAGAGAAAAACATTTTAAACAAATTTCTGTCAAAACATTCCAGAACCGATCACTAGGAGCGCTGTACCGCATGCTAACGCTATGTTTCTACAAAATTAGATTGATAGATTCAGTGACTGGTGTGACTTGACCACATGATAGTAAACCCTAATGAATACTCGATAATCACCTTCTCTCGCAAAAAAGAGCCCTTAAAGTTCATTTGCACGCTCCTGGGTATTTCAATTGAACGCGTAAGTCACGTGAAGGACCTAGGTATTATCTTGGACTCACAATTGAACGTCAGCACATTTAATTCATGGTAGACATAGCCTCCAGATCTTTGGGGTTCATCTTAAGGATAGATAAGGATGCCACTGACGTGTACTGCCTTAAATTGTTATACTGTTCCCTTGTATGACCTAC